GTGATGTTTCAACCTGAATTGTTGTGTACAAATAGACTTATTAGTAACTGAACTACTCTGAAAATTTAAACTCACAAGAATTTTCTCTTCACAATCTATTGAACGTACAAAAAAGATGTGATTCATGCACCTTTTTTGGGATATGAGTGATTTTTCTGGAATTTCGATAGCTCGTGAAGGAAAAACTCTTGTAAGTTAAAAGTTTCAGAACTTTTCTAATCATACCGAGGTACATTGTTGTGCAAAATTTCACATTGAAACACCATGATTTGATTTCTACATGCATATCGTACTTTAGGTTCATACTCTAGTAAAGTATACATAACTCTAGAGGTAAGGTCCAGCGACAGTTAGCCGCCAGGCTGATTTTACATATCTCACTAGAATCACACGCTTATGCATTGAGTCAAGATTAAAAATGATTAATCACTTTCAACTATCTCCTCTTAAGAGAACGGCATATAGAAGAAAAAACAAATTTCGTTTAACATAACAATTTTATTGAGTTCATTATGGCCACTAATTATCAGAGATCTGAGAATAAAACATGAGTATCATGTCATATAAAATGTATTATTTCAATTTAAATATTTCATTACCATAGTCATGTTTGAGAAAGAGGAAAAAGTAATGTGTGTGTTATAAGAGAAAAAAGAAATGATAGAAAAGAATGAGATTTATCCAAGAACGCAATTTGAATAAATTTATCACGAACACAAGAAGAAAAAAAGAAGAAGTTTGAAGACCTGAGGATTTCAAAAAATAAAATGTCAAAGTTGATACACACATAAATGAATTGTTCAATATTAGAGGATGATCGTTTGAAATATTCTTTCGGAAATTATTGAATAACACAAAAAAAAGGAAATCAAATATCCAAAATCATGTACGATGCCCTTTATATAGAAAATACAGGGCTTATCAAAATTATAGTCCCCCCCCCCCGTTTTTTTTTTGTCATTGAGGTTTTTCAATGAAGACGAATAGTTAGACCAAATCTAAATAGTGATTTCGATAGCCCTTGAAGTTCTCTATCGAAAACAGTACGGATCAAAATCTCCGAAAGAACTTTCCTTAGAAAATTTTACAAAAAAACCGAAGTGCTCCAAAATCAAACATCAGGGACATATGAGAAAAACATTTCAAAATATAGTCATCTAAAAGAGCAAAACATTCTAAACAAGATGAGGGGTCGCCCAGTTCTCCACGATATTTTCTTATAAAGTTGTAAGCATCAGAAAAGTGAAAAAAAAAGTGTTTTTAGGCTATTTTTAACGGTTTTGTGGAACTCACGTATATTTTCGAAGAAAATAGTGAGTGTAAGTTTTAAGTTCGAGGTTTTGCGGCTCCCCCCTCCCCTTACAGACCGGCCCCCCTTACAGACCATAGCAACGAAAGAGAACATTACATACACATACCTCCTCCCCCTCCCATTACAGACTGCAACAACCGTATTCATCAAATAGTCGATGGTGGAGAAAAATAACTTCAAATTAGAAAACAAAAAAAAAGATTATTATCGAGTATATAGCAATAATTATAAATGAAATCGAGCGCGCTTAAATGAAAAAACAATATTTTCTTTTTTAATATATTTTTTTAATATACAAATAAATAATAAATTCCCGCTCTTTTCATCGATTCTCAAGGAAAACAACTCTAGTTGACGAGAAGTCTTTCAGTATACAGATGATGCGTCAGGTAACAAAGCTAAAGGTATACGTGAGTTCCACATTTCAGCTCCGCAGGAGCTGCGCTAACAAGCTTTTTTTGATGAATTTCAAAGTTTTTTTCACTTTTCTCCTGCTTATAACTTCATAAGAAAACATCGTGGAAAACTGGGCGACCCCTCATTTTGCTCAGAATTTCTCTCTCTTTCAGATGACTATATATTGAAATATTTTTCTCAAATGCCCCTGATGTTTGATTTTGGAGCACTTCGATTTTTGGTAAAACTTTCTAAGGAAAGTTTTTTTTGGGTATTTTGATCTATACTGTTTTCGATAAAGAAATTCAAGGGCTATCGAAATCACTATTTAGATTTGATCTAGCTATTCATCTTCATTGAAAAATCTCAACGACAAAAGAGGGGCTATAATTTTGATAAGCCCTGTACATCAAAAGAATTATTTCTATTCAGTCTTACAGACTTGTAACAATTTCAATCAAGTAATATAGAAATAAAATGTATCTTTCACGTCTGTTTGTATACGTTCGCTTCGAAAGACATAGTTAGATGTTTCATAAAGTTTTTCTCAATAATCATCATACTTATAATCGAGAAGTGATCTATTCTTTGAAAGTATCAATATTCTGTGATCACTCCATCCGCCAATATTATATATTAGGTGAAGAATTACACAATGTACATACTGGATTGATTTTTGTTTATTTCTCTATAAAATAGAACCATGTTAAGAACAATCAAATAAAATGAAGTAGAACAAACGAATAAAATAATAGTCTTCTAATATATTATTTCTGTATTGAAATTATTCAAAACATAGTAGTTACTCTTGAAAAAAATCTTCATAGTTTTCAACGTCGATTGTTTACCATGAATTATTATTTTTCTCCACAGATTGGACACTATAGCCTACCAAATACAGCAAGGAATTCTATGGTTATTACTAATCCAAGTCTATCATATACTGCTCTTGTAAGATACGTGTACTCGCAAAGAGTTAAACATCTAGGCTGAATCCATTTAAACAAGAGGTTAAAAATCGATTATAATGACGCTATTATAATCTGATATTAATAAGATTTTTAAGCCTCAAAAGATAGATTTCATTTCATTTAATCTTTTTTAATCTATTTCAATCCACTATCAATATTAAATCAATTATAACTGATTATAAAAAGTCCATATTAATTGATTAACGCTTTTGAGACGATTAAAATATATCAAGAAAAAGATTAAGTCAAATGAAACCTGTCTTTTAAGGCTGAAAAATAAGATTAAAATCTTATTATAATAATGCCATAATAATCAATTTTTAATCTTCTCTTATAACCTTTTTTAAATGAGTAGCTTGTGGTAGAACGTGAATCTTAACTGTTTATCTACAAAAATATCTTTTTTCAGCACATTAATTTAAAAGTTCGTTCTGTATACAACGTTCGTATCGTTTCTCTATATTGAATAATATAGCAAAATGAATTCCTCTGGAGGATGACTGTATTTGAGAAGAACCAAATAACTTTCTCATGTTTACTATGTTCAAAAATATTTCCTTTCATTGGACGCTTATTAAAGATACAAGTGAAAACATTCATATATATATATATAAACGGCTAGAAGATTTTTCAATAAAGATGCTGAGGTTATACTTCACTGATAAGATCACGTGCCCAATCCAAGAGTGAAAACTGATTTGTTTTCATAATTCTGTGTTTCTTTATATTTCCAGATACTTCTCTGCAAGTCTCCCTTCGACGCGCCACTCCTGCAAATATAATCCATACTTCTATGCAATTCTTATTTCCAAGAGATTATGTGAACGATGTAATTAATCTTTTTTTCTAATAATATGCATCAGCTTTCTTAAAAAGCTTGTTAACGCAGCCCCTTTGGGGCTGAAATGTGAAACGCACATATACTCTCTACTCCCATTAAACTAATATAAAATGCGTAAAATGGAAAACCTTGGATAGACTATAGCTGTTTTGCACGATAATCGATGTGCAAAGTAATGATCTATATAATTTCTGCATTTTTAACAGATTTTTTAAAATATTTCTACGGCACCTAATTTTTTTGTTTTCATTGTTGCTATTCGCCCATTATTTTTCTTTTTTTTAGTCGTTTTTCTTAATTTAACATTCTCACTATTATAATCATTGAATTAATTGATAATATTAGTCTGTTTTATGTATTCATGATCTCTACAGACGATCTTACATACTATCATATATATTAATCAACTCATAGATAATGATGTTCATTATTCTTAAAAATTATAACCTCATCGCTTTTGCAAAAAAAGAAAAAACTTTAGAAAAAATAACGTCTGTTATTTTCGATTGCTAAGGTCTGTAATGGTGGGAGCCTAGAGGTGGGGAGGGGAGCCGCGAAAAGTCGAACTTAAAACTTACACTCACTATTTTTTTCGAAAATATATGAGTTCCACAAAAATAAAAACAATTAACAATTATTGTAGATCAACGATGAAATTGACTAAGAAAATACGACTTCATTTACAAAAAACAAAGTTTCGTATCATCAACATTATAGATAAGAGCAATTTAATTCAAACAACTCATAATTCAGAATGAAAATTGATGACATTTTTCAATACTTACAGAAATAACCATCATGTTGGCTACCGACCAATTGATATAAGCAATCGCCTATCATATGATTGCATTTCTCCTATCATTGAAACAAGCTGAAAAACACTTATATTAATGTTATTTAGTATTTATTTGTTTTCTTAATATTCTTTTGCACAAAAGCTATCTTACTCTTACGAAAAAAAACATATCTCAGCTTTTTATTTACTTCTTTGTTACTTTTGAGCAATTAATACTTTTCAAAACTTCTTGAGACTTCTTCGTAATTCCGTACTTTCTATGCTCTGGGAGCACAGAGATATGATTTTTTTTCTTGTTTGTGTTCATCCATTACTCTCAAAAGCAAGTCTAACCACGTAGTAATGGTAAAAAAAATGATTCATTCTACACGAACGAGCGAGTTGTATCCATTGCTTTTTTATGTAAGTTGCATGACAAAAAAGAGAAAGTAATGACATGATAATTGTCAGTCTTGCCCCAGGCACACAAAGAAGGATTGAAAAAAAGACGCATAGTCTTGATAAGCACAACCCTTACACCAAGAAATGTTTTGACTTGCGATTCAGTTTGCTAATAAGTGACATTCGAGTTCGAAGGGCTGTATATTTTAACAAATCTTCAACTGAATCAGAAATTTTCAAAATTTTCATTCATTACTATCTATAATTTATCTATGAGATTGCATCAACGATTGGTGCAACGCAATGCACGAAATGACGGGTAACTACAATGCTCATTCTTCGGTACAATTGAATATAATCGATACAACAAAATCATTTATTGAACAAGATATTGATACGCATGACATTACTCGATTTTTAATCGCCGATTTTGGTTCTGTTCATGGACTCAACTCCATTTATGCTATGAAAATAATTATTCAAGCTTTGAAAGACACAAAGAAAATTCACGATGATGCATCTATTCTTGTCGTTCACAATGATTTATCAACGAACAATTGGACAAATCTTTTCGAATTACTAAATCAAGAGAAGTTCTACTATGGTGTAGCCAGTGGTCGATCATCATTATGAGCCATGCCTATCATCGAATTCACTATCAATCGGTTAGTCATCTGCTGCATTGTATTCGCTTTTATGTAAACCGTGCGACGTAAAAGATCATTGTTTTTTTCATTTTGTGCGCGGAAAAGAATTTAAACAATTTCAACATCAAGAAAAACTCAATTTCAATGCTTTTATTGAATAAAAGTGCATGTGAACTTCAATCTGGAGGTATTCTAATTCTTCAAACTCTTTCTGTCAACAAGGAAAGATCAACGAGTCACGATCAAGTGATGCACTGATTATATCAATGTGCTCGATCGATGTTCATTGCAACTGATGAAAGCAGATTTTGTTGAAGTTCGATCTAAACTTTACGTCTCTTATCGGAACAAATAAATAACAATCGAACAGATGGCAAATATGTCGACAGCAGTTGTTTGTAGTGTATCTGAATCGATCGTGACACAAGCTTTGAAAGACAACGGACGAATCTAAGATGACATTGACCTAATGCTTGCACAATGTTGGGCAACGTTTAAAGACGAAATACGAAAAAATCCTGATGAGCTTGATACTTGTCATTATACTATTTGTTTAATTTTGAAAACAAATAGCTAATTTCGTGAAAAATCAATTGTCCATATTATAGTTTGTAGATGCTTTCGAATCCGATAATTCTTTTCTAAGTTATCTAACGAGCTGTTCAGCAAGATAAATCTTGACACTGAAGATATTCACTTAATTATATCCCTACAGGTTCATGATAGTGTATTACTATTTTAATTTAAAAGTCAATCACTCGTTACTCCAATACGAGTTTATTACAGTATCTGTGATTGATGTTTATTAGCAGTATATTCTATACTTTGGTCTATCAGACTGAATGTCATCTATTATCTGTACATTATATTCATGGTTTTCCATGAAGATGAAAAATTGTCATTTAAAATTGGTATACATTACACTACGTTTGCTGTTTCTTTCTACTTGTGGACCTAGGGGCTGGCATCGGATTGTCTTGCATTATCGAGGAAAATTACAGTTTTGAATCTTGGATATTATTTTTCGAAGGAATGCATATGAATTTCTTTGAAACTATCGATCAGCTTGATAGTAAATGTCGGATAACTCAGAACAAAAATACAGCAAATCATTTGCTGTTTGTCAAAATTTGTTTTGAGACTGTTTTGCCGACTTGTTAAATGAACGACTAGATTCGCAGACAATAGATTAGTACTGTGGATGTCTTTACATGTTTGATATATTGTCTATATATACTATGCAGAACGATAGAAAAAGAATAATCGACTTATCTGTCGCCATAAACTGAGTTACTGCTGTAATGGAAAACGTTGGATCAAAGTAGCGAAAACTAAAAAAAATCGTGATTGTCTCAGAAGAAGATCATCTTTGACCTACATAGAATAAACTGTTTTTAGGCTATGTCTAATAATGAATCTAGAAAAAGAGAAGTAACCATTCATTATACTTGATATACTTTTTCATCTTTGAGATGACTTAGCAAGTATCATTGATCAATGTGTCACATTTCAAAAGAAATTTGGTACAATCAACGAGTCATCATTATAAAAACAAACTTTTCACTGTTATAGTTTTCAATTTCTAGTAAGCTGTTAAATCTATTAATTAGTTAGTCTTTTTATTGCCCTACAGCTGTCTGTTATATGATAAATCTCGACTTCTCTATAATTCGATGAAATGTAGTTGTAATAGCTATCAATTCAAGATTGTGTACACAAATAAGTTTCAGAGTCATATTAAGCGTAAATAAAATATTCTTTCGGTCAACGTATATTTTGTAGTAACATGCTGACAAAGACATGTTCAATCATTTTTTTTTTATGATTAATAAAAGAATGTTGAACTTGATCGTTCTTGCACGAGAGCACAAAGATGTCTGCAATCGGAACACTGTCAAATATTTATGATACGATTGTTTCTCCGTTCTAATGCATACGACTAGAAGTTGATCACGAGGAGCACATAGTTTCTTATGAATAGAAGAATACTCATCACACTCATTCTTTTATACTATTTATTTCCAGACACTATTTCTAAGTATTACTTTTGTAAAAGACGAGTGGTGAATGTTTTGGAATAGTTGCAAAACGAACATTGTACTGGATAGACTATTCATTTCATCACCATTCAATGGGTATTGGTGATTTCAATAACAATAATAAAACAAATAATTTCATGGAAATATTACCATCGTAAATAAAAAATCTGATAATGTAAAAATTGCACTGAAATCGAATTATGTTATATCTATTTGTGCTTTGAATATGACGATGTGAAAGTAAATCTTCCATATCAACAAGTTGTTTTTTTTATCGATACAGAGAATCCATGAAAAAAGTAAGAAGGTAGCTTAAATGTGCTACTCCTTTTAATGTGAAGTAACTTCCGATAAGGATAGTGTTATCTTCAAAATGGGAAATGTTAGCTTCCGTCTGATGAATAAGTCAATCGACAATTCATCGTGAATTCAGATATGACCATCAATGCAAGATCGATGAATGCAACTGTAACATAATTTCTGCAATCAGTTGTTGACATAGTAAATATAGTCGTTCATATGCCATATTATAATATCCATTCAATCGCACCTTTTTTTAAAGTATGTTCGAAGTATAGTCAAGGTGTTTTGTGCATTTATTTTCATGTTAAACAAAATTTTTTATGTTCTCTTATTAAATTTGTGTGCACATCTGCATTGATGCATTGCATGGATTCGTTGGTTCTGCTAAAATATTTCACGGTTCTCTCGTCATAACCATGAATCATACATCTTGGTTAAGGTTTCTCCACGGCAAATGCAAATAAAATGTCTACATGTTTAAGCTATCAATTTGACATACGTATATAATTAACTCATTATTATAAACAAATCTTACAGTATCTGTTGTTATTTGTTCGATCATGCAATCATCACACCACCTGGATGTTTTACGTGGACGATGTCAAGAACTTCCAAATGTTCGATCGAAAATTGTGCGTATCTTTCTTAGCTCGACATTCTCAGGTAAAGAATCTTACTTATATCAGACTACGTAGTATAACAAACAAAATATATTTTGATATTTAGATACACTATGCGAACGAGACTCATTGATTGAAAGTGTATTTCCTAAACTAAAAGATTATTGTCGTGAAAAATATGGCCTTGAATTTCAAGTTTGTTGAGATTTTTTTTTGTTTAGTTCATTGTTTGTATTAATATTTGAATTTTTATTTTAGTATTCTGATATGCGATGGGGAATTGAAACAGAGTCATTCGATAATCATGGCGAAGTTCAAACATGTCTCAATGAAATTGAACTGTGCAAAAAATATTCAGTGGCTACAAATTTTGTGGTCAGCTTATTTTTTTCAGCAACATTCTGTGAAAATATGACATGTTACGAACACATGTGTTGAGACAAAAAAAATCACTCATATTTTAGGCTAACAAAATATTTCGTTTCCCATTTTTTGTATCAACTTTTGGTACATCATGATAATGTGGTGTAGTATGTGTCATGATGTTTCAAATATAAAAAAATAGCGAAATATTATAGTACATGAAGTTCCGTCACGTTTTGATACACGACCGAGCCGTTTGTCATGATATGTTGAAACTTAAAAAATATTTCATTACTGTCTATCAGTATACGTGTCTGTAGCATTTCATATTGATATGTTGTAATCTCAATATATGTAATCGTTCATATTCTTGTATTTATTAATAGGTTCTATTAAGTCATCGTTATGGTTCACGACCGACACCAGCCATGATTCGTGCATCACTTTTTGAACAGTTACTTGAGATTATTCGTTCGGATGCGAATATGAACGCCAATGCTGAACTACTTTCTGAATGGTATCAACTTGATACGAATTGTGTACCGGCCGCATATATACTTCGTCCTATTTCAGCAAAATTGCCAAACATCAAGTCTCGAGTATAGCATGAATTTGAGTTACAGTCTATAATCAATGAAAGTATTCTTATTTTTAGAATACAGAAGAGATGAAACAAGCCGATAAAGAATGGCAACAAATAAATGATCATATTCGAACATGTCTTCGACAAACAGCAGCCAAATGCTTGGAACAAGGACAAATTAATGAGAATGAATACGATGATTTTTTCATATCAGGTAGATGTGATTTTTGTATTTCTTATTACATTTATTCGAATTTTTGTTTTCATCTAACAATTATAGTTACAGAAAAAGAAATTGTAAAAGGTATTCTATCAACATCAGATGCTAATCAACGTACATTATGCTTTTTACGTGAAATTGAAGATATTTATGATCATTTATCAGATCGTAAAGCATCAAGATTTGTTGATTTACAGTATTCGAATGATGGAGAACCGATCGTAGATCATGAAGCCGAACAATTACTCAATCGTCTAAAGCATAAGCGTATTCCGAAAATATTACAAGCAAACAACATATTTTCATACAAAGTATGTTGGAAATCAGATGGTATAAATCGGCGCGATCACGCCGAATACATATCACAATTTAATGAGGACTTCTACAATGCAATCAAACAACAAATTGATGATTGCGCTAAATCTCGTATCATGATAGTTTCCGATCCATTGCAACATGAAATATTAGAACATGCTATACAATGCAAAACGTACGTTGCAAAATTCCATGGACGAACTGATGTTTTAAATAAAGTAAGAGATTTTCTATGAATTTCAGTAGTTTTTTTTAAAATGCATTATGATTTTTCGTTATAAGTTAGAAGATTATATCAAGAATGACAATGAAAATCGACCGTGCATAGTATATGGTGCATCGGGTTGCGGAAAAACAAGTGTATTGGCTAAAGCTGCAACTGAAGTGTGTATTTAGTTTGTAATCTACAATCAAAAAGTGTATTGTTCTTTTATTTTATTTGATGAATACTTAGGCATTGAAATGGTGGTCCGATCGATCTGTTTCGGTCATTTTACGTTTTCTTGGGTAGGTATAATGTTAAATTTAAGTGATCTTTTTATTTATTTATTTTTGTTCTACATCTAAATTTTGACTTTCAAAACTACTTAGAACAACTCCTCCTTCATCAACAGTCTACAAAACTATGCTTTCTATATCAAAACATATTTCCACATTGTACAATCTACCAATGCAAATTTATCCCGATGTTTTAAAATTACGTTATCAGTTGGAAAGTAGTCTATTTACGCAAATACCTGATGATGAATATCTTATTATTTTGCTCGACTCAATCGATCAACTTGAAACAGATGGATATGATTGTCAATGGTTACCTGGATTATTTCCAAAGAATGTTAAATGTATTGTATCAACATTACCGGATCACGGTAATATTTTATCAAATTTAAAAACGATTATCAATTATAATTCATTTATGCCGAAAGATACTGAACATTTACTTGTATTAGTGCCACCTTTTCAAGCATCTACAGTAGAAATAGTCTATGATGATTGGCTTGCAATGAAGCAACGTTCATTGAGCAATGAACAACGTTCATTTATTCAAAATTTAATGGCAGAACGAACTGAAATTCTTCCTTTATTTATGAAACTCGTTTTTGATATTATTTTAACTTGGCATTCATATGATCCTATCGACTTTGAATTACGAAACTTAAAGAGTGTTGATGATTGTATTCGTTATCTTTTTAATCATTTAAAAAGTGTTCATAATCCTATTTTATTCCATCGTGCTATATGTTATATGACGGCATGTCGAAATGGCATTAGTCAAAATGAACTCGAAGATGTACTTTCACTTGATGATGATGTTCTTAAAAGTGTTTTTCAACATTATATACCACCTGTACGACGATTACCTGGCATTTTATGGACAAGAATTAGAAATGATTTAGATGAATATATCACAGAGAAAGAAGTTGATGATTCATCAGTGATCTATTGGTATGATTTGACATATTTCTATGTTAAGCTTCAGCTGAGTTTAAGAAAGCATGTGTCAGACTATTGCAGAGTTGAGATAATCCTAAAATTTATCCTTTGTATAATTCCTGACAAAATAACGCAAACTCTATTGTTAACCAGTTATCAACTTTTATTGAATATGCTTTCCATAATTTTACTTGAATACATATAAGAAAAAAATGCAGCATCAAAAATTGATGAAAATTAATTATTTTAATATTCTTTTTCATTCAACCATTTATTTTCCTTTGACAAAACTAGTAGTTCACAAAGTACACAGATATTGTCAGTGTATTTGCTGTCTTGTAGTCAAATTAAGAGTAGCTTAACTAATTGTTACGTATACTCGGCAGATTTGTTTTCTCTATAAAATGTTTGAAAAGTTTTGAAGAAGAACTCATATCTTTGAGCTCAACAATGATTGACAGATGTGACGAATCAGACGATATCTGTATTATCGATGGCTAAAATTTGTCAAAAAATTCTATGAATAAAGAATCGAGACATCATTCTAAATTTAAACCAACGAAAATTCTAAAGAGTATTAATGAGAATCATCTAATAAAAATTGAAAATCTATGATTTTTTTTTCAGTCCAACTGTGTGATGATCTGTAGGTAGTAAATGATCGGACAGTTCACTCAGAATCAGTGGTAATCAACGAGAATTCTGTTTCGGAAACGAAAAATTCTGAGATCTACACAACACTGAACATCTAGGTTCTGAATAGATTTATCTTCGTTTTCGAAATATCAACTACTGAACTCAGTCAGAATATGTATGCCTATTGTCAACTATTGGTGGAGGTTTTTCATGACATATTGAGGAACACTTAATGAGTTAATTGGTTATTATCCGATAAACAGCACAATTTTCGGTGTGAAAATACAAATTTACATTGATCAAAACTGATTTTGACTGAACAGTCCGGTAATATACCACTGATAGATCATCAACACGCAATGTAACTGAAAAAGAAACCATGAATTTTTATGAGACTATGATGAATTTTCAATTTTTATTACATAGTTCTTATCAATAGTTTTCAGAGTTCTCGCTAATCGAAATTTAGAATGATGTTCTATTTCTTTGTACATAGAAATGTTTGATAGAGTTCGGCAATCGATAAGTTGACAGAAAATATTGAAATGTATAGAGATCAAAGTGCATCCTTAAACTTTGACAAAGATAAAATAGAATTTCGAACTATGTTGTTTTTTGTTTCTGCTATTAATGAATATTTTAGACTTGACTCTTTTTTGCACTTTAGACTTTTAGAACTCAGAAAATTTAAATGAACTTTCAATTTATGCATTGATAATTATACACTACCTCCTCAAGTTAGCTTTTTTGATTCACCACAAAATGTTAGAAACATATCAATAAACTATTCTTGTGACTGAGTCATTGATTCTAAATGATTAAAAAAAGTTTTTGCATTAGTCATTAGAACGAGTCCAACATGCCTTAGTTGCATATCTTGTAAAGCTTTTATTGAAAGTATTTCTATACTTAAGATTATTTTCTCTACATACTACATACGTTTCTAAATGCTATTTCGAATTAACTGTAAAAGTTAGAAACCATACAACGATTCGAAACAAAAATAGATATTTTCTTCATTATGTAGCATCATATAACTATTGTGTATCGGATAGATTTCTATATGTTTAGGTATCATCGTCGATTTATTGAAGTTGCACAATCTCAATTTATTTCCAAAATGGGTTCTCAAGAGAAAAAAGCTGTCTTTCAAAATCTGATCGATTTATACAAAGAAACATGGAAAGGTAAAAATAAGCCATTCAAAATAGAAGATCCAAAATTAGTCGAAAAATATCAGTTGACTGAATCAAATGGTGAAATTCAAGCAAATCGATTGACAACTTCGCAACCAATTGAATTCGTCGATGCGAATGGTCGTATACAGTACAATAAAAGAAAGTTGAATGAATTACCACAATTTTTGACTCAGTTTACACCCGATTTAGCAATTCCTATTGCTGCTGAAGAAGTTATTTTCAATTATCCATTCATGCGTAAAGTTTCCTATTCGTCATTCAAATAAAAATTATTGCTTTGCATTAACATATATATTTTGATCTATTTAGGTGCTAAAATTGCTTGTTCACCTTTCAATGATATTATGAATGACTTGCAAGCATTCAAGAACAATTCAGCATATCAACTTTCTGAACAAACTAAAGAAATAAAAAAAGAAATCGATATATTCACTATGTTATATTTGATTATCGGCCCTCAACTGCAAGAATATCCGCACAATTTTTCCTTTGAAATTTCTTCGCGTCTTCTAAATTTGTTTGGCATCAAATCGTATATCACCAATCTAATAAAACAATTCGATGAACAAAGCATTCGTTATTGTTCTCTGATTGTTCCCTATTGTCAATTTCAACCGCCGGGTAGTGGTTTAATCTTTTCAGTAGCTAGCCATACAACATCTGTAGTCGATTTCGATTTTACTGAAGATCAAAGAGTAGCTATATCTCTCTCGGATAGAATTGTCGTAATTGATATGAATGCAGCAAGTACAGTGTTGGATATCAATTTACCGACATTAGATGAACCGTATTTGAATTCAACCACATTACCCGAAGCATATAATTTCAATGAATACGATCAAGCAAAAAATGATTCGTCTTCAACAGATGATAAGGATCAATTCAAGAAATACTTATTTCTCGTCAATTCATTGCATCATATCTATCTTGTGTCTGCTCATGAAAATATTAAATTCGAACATTCATCTCAAGTCGGCTATTTAAATGTTGAAGTTTTTCATAAAAAACGCGGTCTTTTTATCATCGCAGAAATCAATGGAAATTGTGTCGAATGTTGGGACGTTGTAAAGAATCGATTGTTCGATCGAATCAATTTTCCGTCATCTAAAATTAAACAGGTTCTTTGTGTTAATATCTATTCAATGGTTATCACTGTTCTTCAAGATGGAACTATTCATTTTCATTCGATTATTGATTGGACTAAATCATCATTCGTTTATCGAGGTACAATGCAAGCTGGTATTCATATTGATTTAGTTACTGTCGATGAACGATTATTGATTGTCACATTTGATACAACTATTCCTATCGATTTCGCCATCATTGATTTAAAACAGTTCAATAAAAATAAACAAATCATATTCGACAAGCAAATACTCAAAACATTAGTCGCTTTCGATCCTCTGATCGAACCTAAACCAATCAAATCTATCATATTACCTCACAAAGAATCAATGAGCTCAAAGAAAAAGTCAAACTTTCCACTATTTATAGCTAAGACCACCACCGGTGCGCATATTATTCATAAATGCATCAGTGAAGAATTATCCTACGTACGCATTAATGGCCAATTTGATGTTGTGTCTATGCATGCAAGCAATCCAAATACAGTATATACAGCTCGTGGAGGTATTCTCGACGTATATAAGTGGGCATGTATTGAGGGTGAAGATGATAAGGAAGGCAATCATAAAATTTTTCACAAATATCAACTTTATGTTTCCATCGATATCAGTTCATCACCTGTAACTACAATTACAGCTTCATCCGAAAGCGGTCAGTTTTTGTCTTTCTTTTTCTAAAGAGAACATTGTTTAATAAAGACATTTTCAATGAGCTCGTCGTTTCGAAGAATTTGACCATCTGAAAAAAATGAATATTGATTTGTTTACGTAGATATATCAGATTTTTAGATACAATAGAAAATGCTAATTTTTATTATTACAAATAATTTGCAAGAAAAATGTTAAGTCATGTATAGATTGGTTTGATTTTTAATGAATTGTAATCCATAGGAAAAGATGATTGCTAGTAGAATCCACAAGAAATCTTCAGAGATCAACAAAATAAAATAGTCGATTTTTTTTCTTGTACTATGTAAATTTTTTTTAAAGCGATCTGTGAGGGAAATTTATGAAAGATTAGGAACAATTTATAAGCTACGAGAAACTGTAAGAAAAAAACGCACAGTATCATTAGAAGCTTGTGAGTTGAGGAAATTTTCAAAAATCCAGAAGTCTATACCATATGTGATTCTGATCATAGAACTGCGAAAACTTGATCATTGACTTCTTATGTCTTCGTATGATTTCTGATTAATATAAACCAACTTATTTCTCATGTCAGAAGTAATTAGAAATCAATAAATTTTAGCTCTTCACATTCAAAACTTAACTTATCTAAAATGATTAATGAAAACCCAAGTGGTAGCCATAGAAACAAAGAAATCCGTAGAAATGAGATGAAATGAATCCTGACGGAAGTAACTTGTCGGCGTCTATTATAATTCGATTTTGAGATTTCTCATGGATGTATCTAACTGAAAACAATCGATCCAAAAACAATATTGATTTTGTGATAAACGAATAATAATGATTGTTGAAATAATTATAAATCAAAACAATCTAAGTTTAGAGCCTGCCTCATCCATTATGACAAACATCTCAACCCACTGTTTTTTCAGTCTTACTATAGAACTACACACTCGTGTTTGTTGATTTCTTTCCCAACTCTATCACGGAATACGATAGATGTAGTACATGTTTTCATTTACAATTAAAACGGATCTGTTTATTATGTTTCACATTTTAATCTTATCGCATCCATTTGAAAGTTCTTTTAGACGGTCAAATTCGGAAAAGACTGAACAAATGAAAATAGCTTTAGCAGGACACAGTGTTTATCTATTAGTCATAGCAATCCAATCCAATCTATTTCTATTCCATCACTATAGCGTCAATATTTTTATGTTCATTGGGAAATGGAGTTATCCAAGCTTACTATGCTACTCATGCAAGAGAAGCGTACAAGAAAATGCCATCTTTTCCGCGCACAAATGAAGTCATACGAACCGTTCAATTATATGGAAAAATAGCTGTTACTCTTGATGGTTCAAAAAGGTAAATCCATGGGTGTTGTCTATTTGAATTTTACTTAGAAAGAAAAGATTATCATTAATGATTTTTCGAAAAACAATATACAAACATTTTCAATAAACAATGAACTTTATTAACAAAGAACTGTTCGTTGAGACTAACAAAATAGTTTATAAATGACCATTTCCAATTTCGACAACTGACTTTTATAATCTGGTCAATAACTTGACGCTTCCCGACTCATATAGACTAACGTATCTAAAAAATAGCATATGTTTTCTTTTAATATTTTGCAAACCAAAACGAAATGGATATATGAAAGTTTACATTATAAGGTATTTTTAATGTGATATGTGCTTTTGTAAATAAGAAACTCTCATTTGAAAGGAGGATGGCCAAGAGTATTATTACTTCGAATCTTCATTTATTCCTATTCGGTCTACATTTCTGTTAAATTAACTCCAATTGAATTCAAATTCGTTTTAAAACTCTTCCAGCTACATGCAAAATAAAATCGGAAAGTTTAATATTAATTAAATTAAATATCACTAGAATATTTCCTATGATCAAGTATGATCTGATTTTAAGAGTGACTTTGTCACGTTTATTGAAACAATAATATGTAGAAAGAATAAATTTTCGAAGGATAGATCCGTTACATACATAAAGACAAAGTTATGAAGTATTGAAAAGATCATAGCACCACTAAGCAATGCATAATCATGAAATGTTTCACATGCTATGTTCTATCCTGAATCAATAGCTCATGGATAGTTATGCTTCAAACTGAAGTACTAGAATGTTTTTATTAAATCTATTCAGTGTATAATTAGACTCACACTCTGAAAGTACTACAACCCAAATACGAAAACTAAAAAAATTTTCGTAAGTAATCTCTATATTTTTCTACAAACAATGACTAGTCCTTAACATGTTATATACCATTAGATGTAACAAATGTTGTTGTACAAAACTAGGAAAAGTTTGTCTAATCCACAGTATATTAAACTTTCAAAACTCAACATTCAAAAGTATGACGACCACACTTTACTCACAAGTTTTCAGTACATTATGAAGTTTACTATTTCATTTAATTTATTTCAAAATGTATTTTATCTACATTAGAAACAGCACTATAAATTCTTTGTTCATATGAATAAGCTAACATGAACAATGTGACGGAATTGCTAATAAATATGAAGAAGTGTATAATTGTAGTAGATTTTGAATAAAAGACTTTAGTAAGTAATTAACATCTATAACAGAAAACTGTACTGAATAGGTTTCTAGCATGTTTCATAAGCCATGAATTGCATTAGTTGACCAGATTCATATATTTCTTTACTTTCGTCATCAAGTCAAACGACAGTATTAAGTGTGAAAATATTTATAACAGGAACCATTTCATGTCAAATACAATTAACCTTGCATAATCGAGAATCTTTGATTTTCCTTGGATAAAAATATCTTATAGAATGATGAGTTTTATGAATTTTGGCTCCAGCTGCTTTGTAAAACATTGAGTCTTCGACTTTTAGTCAGTTAATTTTATCAAAGTTGCTTAAAATGTAGAAATCTCAATAAAACCTTTTGATATTTGAATAAAAATATATTATATCCATTGTCCTATGGGAAAGTTAGCATATAACTGAAGAAAAAAAATCCTTTGTTCTTATTCTTCTCAGTGAACTCACTTCATGGACGTATCAACATGCAACATCGATTGAATCTACTCGTATGTTTCGTGATGATATAACTATCAATGATTTTGCCATTACATCGAGCAAGTTAAATTCCGAGACTTTATTTGTACTTGTACTAACAAGTAATCGTTGGATTGAAATTTATGCAGTTAAATCACTTAACAAGGAGCCTGTCTTTAATTTTCAATTGCGTTCTCCAGCACGAGTTCACCCGACACATAATGGCACCTTTTTTGTGTTAGCAAACAATGGTTTAGTATATTCAATTGCTCAACAGATCACTTCTGAAAACCAAATTCAATTCAATCAGACAGCTAATATTCAATTGAAGATTCAATGTTCACAAATGTTCAGCTCAATTTTAACGCTCAATTCATCAGAAAATATTATTGTATTTGCTGATAATGGACAATCGATGGCAATCTGGACAATCGAACGAGTTATCTATATTGATGTTAATGTTTCACCTTATCTTTCATCATCGCAGTTGAAATCTATTGACAGTGAACGAACTCAAAACTTGTTATTACTATATTTTCACGATAAAAATCTTATTTCTTGTCAAGTACATCTAGAAGAATCGATCGATAAAGGTTTTCTTCAGATGACTCCATTCGATAAAGCCGATAAATTTTGTCTGAAAAATAATTGTCTTGCTACATACAACAAGGGAAATACTCAACTTAACTTACACAACATCCGTTCATGTACATGTTATGAACCAATTCAACTAGAAAATGAATGTCAACAATTATGTTTGAATGAATCTGCTAGCTATGTTTTTGCTCTTGTCAAACCTCGAGTCTTGTTCATGTATCGTATTGATGATCGTCGACAATTAGCCAAATTATTTGTTTATGATTTTGTCTCATTTATGGCAGCAGACAATGACTTTCTCGTCTTAGCTATGAATGACCGACGTCTACTTACACTCATGATTGCTGACCCTGATGATCCGAACGTACAAGCAAAAATACAAGCTTTACCGAGCAGGTGTGTATTACGAGAATCATTGTGATTCATCTGAAACTGACTTGGAAAATAAAGCTAATCAGTTACATAGAAATTTTCAGTTAAATCTTCACCTTCAATTAATCACTATGGTGAAACAACCGCGAGAATACTATCAAAGAATCTATTCATATGACCATTGAAAACTGCATGAGGTTCAGTTTTTTTTTCTTTGTTTTTAGTTAGAAGGCTAGCGAAGATTGAAACCGATCGCGAGAGTACTTCTCTACAATATTGCTGTTCTATCATTTTGAGTTCTATATAAACGAATGTCTATCATTTGCCACAAATTGTGGTTTCCGGAATTGGTCCCTACATCAGGTCCACATTTGTGGACAATTGAACAATTAACTAAATTCTGGTGACCAAATAGGGANGTAAGATTAATGCAGCACTGATTTCATATAATCTCTTTCTCATCTCTCATACTTAAATTTTTAATTATCAATCCGATATCTTTGTCTGTTATAATGTACGATATCTATAAAACAATGAAACATTATCCTCTTAAAATGATAAAAAAACCGGTACAAAACCGGCAAAAACCGGCCGGTCTCGAACGTTCGACCGTCCCGGACCGGCAAACCGGCAAACCGGGCCGGTCCGATACCGGTTTACCGGTCCGGTTCCAAGTATGTACCACTTACAACTATGCAGATATTCCGTCGTACACGATACGACATTGTTCTACTAAGAAGTTAATTTATGACTCGTAAACGGTTTTTAGGCCGTCATTTACAAACTTTTACATCATTATTATCGGCAATATATGGACCTTTACTATCGTTTTAATGGTTAAACTTAGTAAATTAACTACTGCCTTAAATGATTTCTTAAACACAATCCTAAGGTATTAAGAATGCATATAATCACTTCAAAATAAAAATGCTTCGTTTATCACAATTGAGTATATACTTGATTCCTTAAGTTTTTGGAAGTTATTATAGATGAATACTTCATTAATTCCATAAATATTTGTCATGATATCTTTTCATTTCAAACGGTAGATGCTTTTTCTCGTATTGTTCTAATTGATCGTGAGCCTAAGGACATACTAATGATCTATGCAATGGTTCATTTGATCAATTATTTTGCCCAGATAACACTATATTCAGTGAGAATTTTGTTGTTTTTAAATGCTATGAATATGTTATCCACCTCAATGAATTTCACACTAGCAACAATGGAAGTAGTAATCACCTATTAGAAGATTTTTAATTATACAATGAGATGTTAAGCGTCATTCGTAAAGAAAGTTAAATGGTGTGATTATCTGCAATGTTTCCATTTTACTCTTTGGTTTCTAATTGTTGTTACTGGATCAAACTTTGAAATGTTGTACTTATTATTAGACTACAATAAGAATTTTCCAATCATATGTATTAATAGACTTTGAGATGTGATCTAATTTTGCTTCTTTTAACTATGATTAACAATCTGTATCGCTTTCTCGTCATCGAAGTTATGTGAGCAGTTCATTGTGTCAAATAATATCACTTTATCTATGGATCATTCGATCGCAAACGTAGCTTCTACCTATTGTATGCATAATGAACGTTTATGCGATTTATATTTCCATACATTGAATAAGCATTGCCAACTAACAATGATCGAAATCAGTTGATACTAAATACTATGACTTTCAATACAAAAGTTTCACTTTCACAATAATAAACTTTCATGTAGATATGCTTTTGAAGAAGACATGCTGAATTATATTTTGAATCAGATCAAGTATAATTTGCATAAAATGGATTACTCATGTTGGTGGGTGATATGAATTAAGATGGCAAATATACTGATACCCAAATATTTCTCTCTCACTTCGCCCCCTCCCCTGTCATATACTCTAGTTCAAAATAATATTCATTGATGGTTTCCTTGTTAATAAAAACTTTTAATAGTCCTCGATCATCGAGAATATTATCTGCGTTATTGATTAAAGCAAACATAAGATATAGAGTGTTTTTATCGTCTAGATGATTATGAGCCATTCTATAAAAAAAGAAAAACAATGAATTATTTTCATAATAACACAAAGTCTTCTAACTGGATTAATAAACTCGCATAAGTGAATAAGGCCAAGAGAATATCAGTGTATTCATTGCAAAGATCGGTAGGTACAAATTTCGTTGGAAGTAAACTTATTGGGTCATTCAATCTAGAAAAATATCTTTAGCAATATAAGTAACAACAAAATAGATAGTTTATCTGACAAAATTAAGAAAAAACTTAACAAGGCATTAACATAATCCAGTAGTACTTCCATGTTGTTTTGTCGGCAGTATATTGTTATTCTTTGCTTTGTTTTCCATAAAACTAATCTATGTGAAATATAGCAAGCCTTGTTGCTATACTCTATATATATATATACAATAGTGAGCTCCCATAGTTATTTTGTTCCATATTGCATAAACAAGTACTGTCGGTTTAGTAAATTGCAAAAATCAGAGCAGCTCATATTTATAAACTATAATGAGATATCTAAATATTCATGATATCAGATAAAAGATTAAATAAATATAGATCCTAGCTGACATCAGACACTACAGCCTGTCGAAGAGAGTTTTACAGCTAAAGTGAAAGAATTTTTTGTCTTATTAGAAAATTGACATTGGCATATGTTCACGTAAATTATCTGAGAGAATTTTAACGGAAAGACATCAATTTATTTTTCATTTTTGGATATTGACAGAATATCTGTTTTATGCTTGCAGAAAACAACTATAAATGCTTTTAAAGAACTATTTTCATTCAGACAAAGGCACCAAACTGAGATGGTAATACATATATTGTTGCTTCTAATATGGTGTATATCAGTGAATACTCATTATTCACTCTATCATTCTGACATTGCTGAAGCATCTTATTCTACGTTTGATTGTTTGCATGCTTATTTAATCGATCGTGGCAAAGAAACTGGTGGACGTTACATTCAGAATTCTCATTTAATTCCTTATTGTAGACGACCTGATCATGACGAAGAACAAGAACATGTTTCATATAAATACGGTGAAAATATAGCAGAAACAATTACTTTTGAAGAATTGAAGAAACGAGGAGTAACAAGTGATCAATTACTTGAATGGTTTGCACCTATCGATGTTGCCGAGTCGTATGAAATAAATAAAAATAGTACAGGTGTGTTTTACAATTGTACATCACCTTGGTTTGGTTCTATGTGTCAATATAAATTTGTTTATGATCTATCTCTGTCATTCAATGATATTATTGATGTTACTTTTAGCAATGGGAACAACATTAATTATAATATTACCAGTGGAACATGTTATCGATTTTTAACTGATTGTAATAATGGATTGTGGCCATTGTGTTTCGATTGGCGTGAAATTTGTGATGGAAAAATTGATTGTTTGAATGGAACAGATGAACAATGGTGTGATCAGCTAGAAATTACTCAGTGTAATGATAATGAATATCGATGTCATTATGGTGGTCAATGTATTCCATTGACATTTGCCAGAGATAGTAGAATTAGTATTGATTGTCTTGATGGTAGTGATGAGCAAGACTATGCTATGGATGGTGCTCCCAACATTATCAACGTACCTTGTTCGCTCGTCACGACATTTCGATGTCAAGAACGCATTAGCCGATATTCACGATCTTTTCAATGTGGTGATGGACAATATGTGACGCATAACATTATACCAACTTATAAACCTCATTGTAAGAATAAAAGAGACAAAGAATTATCTCGAGCTATGTTGACTTCAATGGATCATATTTCAAGCATCAGCTGTCGCAAAGCTTTCTATTGTGCACTTCATTTCAATCGAACAATCGGCTTAAGTAAGAAAAGTCTTCCACTGCTCAATATCTAGAGTTTCGAATTCTGTGCATTGACTTCGATACTTTGACTTAGTTAAAAGATAGGTGCACAAATTATGGCTAATCGGTTCACTTCCAAGCTCCGACTGAAAGTCATATAGTTTTATTGGACACGTTGCGAAGAATCATTTGACACTGTTTTTTTAGCTAAATCGATTGTCTTTTGGGATCATTTGAAGGTCTCTCAAAAACCTGTCTAGATCACTGCATTGAGATGCTTCAGTACAACTGGTATTTTGCCAATATTGCATTATTGCCTTGATAAATTGAGTGCAGTATTTCATCATTGGAAAGAGCTTATCATATCGTATAGAACGCTGTAAGAACCAATGATTGACACTCTTCAATTGGATCGTCACCAGAAACCTTTTCTTTGTTCACACATGACTTTAGTAGTGGTCGCAGGCAATGTACTAGGCTTTGTACAACAAATTCAACTTAAAAAAGTTTGAAATTATCACTCTCCGATAGTGATTTCCAAGCTCTACAAATTAGTACTAGTGTATTAAACTTTACTGCTTGACAAGCTACTTCATATATGCACAGAATATTCGTACATAGCACAAAACCACAGTTTTCCGACTCATGTTTGATGAATTGTAGCGACAATATTGAGTTTTTTTAAGCAAACAAATACTATATTTAGAATTAGTCTAATAAATTGAGTCAATCTACATATATTTTCTTATCTTTGAAACACTTTTAATTCAGTCGAAAAATCTAGCGAGAACCCTCTCTCACTTATATATATGTTAAAATAAAACTCAATAAAAAAAGAAACAGTTCGACTGTAAAACATAAACTCTAAACTTTTCAAAAGCTGCGAACGCTGAAATTATCAATAAATTTTAGTAATCCCAAGATTCATAAACTTATGATCCAATGCCCTCGTCTCATCATTTTGATTAGTAGAACGACATTTTTTTAACATGACTTTCTTTGAATATTTTAGGTTCACATATTTCATTGCAAGATACTCTTCAAACCTCTCCAATTTTAGTAGATGTTGGGAATGAAGATTGTGAGCCATTATCTCAGCATTGTTTGTCAGAATGGGTAGTAATACCTGCACATCCTATTTTCCTCGGAATGTTTCAATTTGTTTATCTAACTAATCGATCGGTTGATGAATTAAAAAAAAATGTTGCACCTAATTTTGTATGTTTCAATGCACAAAGATGTCCTGTATTAGCATCGAAAATTGTTTCTATTGAAATAATTAATGGATTAACATGTTGTCATCTTTCGAATTTAATAGACAATGTTCAGCTCAAAAACTTTAATCAAGTAATTAGCAGTTTCATGCCGTTTGACCAACATTGTTTAAAAAATGGTGTTAAACAATCGTGCACAAATCCATCGTATTTTCATTGCAATAAATCCATGAAATGCATTCCATATCATCGCGTTGGTGATGGTGTGATTGATTGTCATTTTCGAGAGGATGAAGATTTTAATGCTTGTCAATTGAACGATTCAACTCGATTTAAATGTCAATCAAATTTGAGCAAATGTTTATCTCTAGTTGCAATTGGTGATGGATATCATAATTGTCCTTTAGAAGAAGATGAAATATTCACATACACACAAGACTTAGTCAAATTAGTATCATTTCCAGATATATGCAATCTTAACGTGAATAAAAATATACGGTCACTGAAAATTACGGAAACGGATGAAACCAATTGCACTTGGTGGCCATGTAATAATCCCTACACACAATGCGATCGATATTGGCATTGTCTGAATGGTGCTGATGAGCTCAATTGTCCTAATACAAAATGTTCTTTCAATGAACATGAATGTACAAATAAAGAGTTTGAATTGTCTCATTGCTTACCTTTGGCTCAAATGTATGAAAAATATCTTTATCCTTGCAATCGTACACTTTTACATCGTGATGTTTACCTGTATAATGAAACTATGAATATTAGTCAAAATCATTTATCTTGGAGTTATGACGAATGTGTCACTTCAGAGAAGCTTTGTGGAACAAATCATCATTTCAACACATCGTCGTTAGAGAATGCTACTTGTCTTTACGGATCTCAACAATCAAATTTGAGGTTTAACTACAAGGTTAAACATTTTTCGAGCAACGAATATCTATGTACTCTCCAATATTCAGTACAAAGTTCTAAGCGTTCTTATTATTTTTCAACAGCCAAAAGATTGGGCTATTTTCCAGCAATGTCAATAAATCATTCTATTTCGCCAATTTCTAAAACAAATCGCAAGAAAAATATCATAGATAATATCGATTTCAGATTACTTTCATATTGTCATCGTGGTATTCTTATACTTAGTGGTCAAAATGAAACGAAAAAATGTCTTTGTCCACCGAATTATTTCGGTGCTCGATGTCAATGGCAAAATCAACGCATTAGTTTGACTGTTCAATTACAATGGCAAAGTACTGCATCTACTACTGTTATTTTTCAAGTAATAATCATGCTCATGGATGAACAAAAACAAATTGCTGTTAATCATGAACAAATTACATATATGCCTACTCGTGATTGTTACACAAAGTTTAATATTTATCTACTCTATCCAAGTCGACCAAAATCTTTATCAAATAATTATTCAATTCGTATTGATCTTTATGAAAAAACAAAATTAGATTTTTGGGCTAGTTGGCATGTGAAGATACCATTTCAGTTTTTACCTGTCAATCGAATTGTTACTCAATTATTTATTCCTGAAATACGAGAACTGAATCCATGTCTACTATCGTGTGGAAAACATGGCAAATGTAGACGATACGTAAATAAAAAATCATTATTTTTTTGTCAATGTGATCAAGGATATTCTGGTGCATATTGTAATATTACACATAAATGTAATTGTGCAACTGATTCATTATGTTTTGATTCATCTATCAGCATCTGTTCATTATATAAATTCGGTCGACATTGTCATTTAACACATTCAATTTGTCAATTACCAAACAATCCATGTCAACACAATGGACTTTGTGTACCAACAGATGATCGTATTAGTTTAAAAGCATTTACCTGTTTCTGTTTAGAAGGCTATTCAGGTAAATTATGTGAGAATAAAAACAATCAAATTGATATACGATTAGATGAGACAACAGTATCCATAACTTCATTATTACTTTTACATTTCATTACTACATTTGAAGATGCTGAACATGAACGAATAACAGTCTTAAAAAAAATTCCTTTTGATCAAAATATTTTAACAATTAACGTACAACAACCGTTTAATATTCTTTTTGTTCAAATACCTAATCAATATTATTATTTAACAGTACTTCGAGAAGTATTCAGACCTTCTGAGTATATTTATACAGAAATACAACCGCAACAACGTTGTTACTCTATCAATGATCTTTTAAATACTACTTTTTTAGAATATAAATATTTACGGCGAGTGAAATATTATCCATTATTATGTCGAGAAAATTTACAAATGATGTGTTTTTATGATAAAGATCTCATGTGCATATGTGATATTAATCGATTTTCTAACTGTTTTCTATTTAATCATACATCAAATAATGATTGTCAAGGATATAATTGTTGTGAAAATGATGGTCAATGTTTTCAGAACAATGAAACATGTCCAACAAAATCAACTTGTATATGTCCAGATTGTTATTATGGTGCTAAATGTCAATTTTCAACGAAAGGTTTTATGTTTTCACTTGATACAATTCTTGGATATCATATTAAACCAAAGATTTCACTCAATCGGCAACCATTAATTATTAAAATAAGTATTCTTATTAGTACAATTATGTTAATTTCAGGATTAATTAGTGGATTATTATCAATTGCAACATTTCGTAGAAAGAAACCAAGACAGGTTGGTACTGGTTATTATCTTTTATTATCATCAATTACTTCAATATTTACAATAATTATATTAACAATTAAATTTTGGCAATTGATTTTTTCACAAATGTCTTTAATAAACAATCGATCTATACTTTATTTCAATTGTATTTCTATAGATTTTATTCTTAAAATTCTATTATCATCAAGTGAATGGTTAAATGCTTGTGTGGCTATTGAAAGAATGATTAGTATTATAAAAGGTGTTCATTTTCATAAGAAAAAAAGTAAAAAAATATCTAAATGGATCATTGTAAGTGTATTTCTTTTCACAATATCTACATACATTCATGATCCTATTCATCGTCAATTAATCGATGATATAGATATAGATGAACATCGAATTTGGTGTTTTGTTCGGTATTCATCGTCTATTAATATTTACAATTCATTTATTACACTTTTTCATTCTCTGACACCTTGTTCAATTAATGTTATATCTGCTCTTTGGATTATTACAGTATTAGCTCACAATCGTACTGGTGTACAACCTGATCAATCATTTCAACAACATTTACAACATCAAGTACAACAGCATCGACATCTTTTATTGACACCATGTATGGTAATATTATTAAGTTTACCTCGATTGATAATTTCATTTACAAGTGGATGTATGAGATCAGCACGTGAACCATGGTTATATCTTATTGGTTATTTTGTCTCCTTTATTCCATCAATGTTAACATTATTTGTCTTTATATTGCCATCAAGAAATTATAAAAATGAGTTGAATACAATGCTTCAAAAGAGGATGAGAGGACTTCGTAGACGTTCGTAGTATATTTATTGCGATGTTTCTTTTATTCAGAACAGTTGTTCAATTTATTCTACCGAAAAATAGAGTTTTCGAACAAAGCGTATGACGCATTGAATACATTTGGATAATATAGTTCGAAACTGCCATTCATTGTATTTTATATTGTATGAGAAAATTCATTATAACTGCTTTTGATTTTAATTTAACATGATAATATTTTTATGTTACTCGTTGACTGCAAGATGAAGAGGTTTTCAGGTCTAATCATCTCGATTGGATTCGGCAATAAGAATTCAACGATTTCTAAGCAGTTGCACACTGATAATTTATCTATTGACGTATGCTGTAACTTTGAACGATGAATGAGTACACTTTCAAATTTTTATAAATGCATACATGTTAGAATTAGAATTTTAACACTTATATATTGATGAAAACGTAAAAAAGAGTATGATTGAATCATAAATCAATCAAATAGGATGTGGATGTTGGTTCATAGAGTAGAAAGATGCACATCCATACTCACATTCATATCCTGCACATTTTGAAATTCATTTTTCGAAATTCGGCGGCTCTCGGGAGATATAATAATGCGAAAAATGATAATTAACAGCTGATAGTTTCCTTACATAGCCATAATTGATTCTGATTCATTATTTCTCTCTAGTCAGATGAACTAATATAGTCGAAGCTGACTGAAATTCATTATGATTTCCTCTAAATAAGTCTAAGATTTAGAAATAGCAGATGTCGTAGTGAATCATACTGCGATATTTTTTGGGCTCTGCAGTCAGCTGACTTTTCCAGGCGGCCTTCGGCCTGGTAGAAGTCTAGTTTCTTATGCTTCGATGAAAAATTCATCTTATAAATCTATTTAAAAGCCTCAAANGTAGTGTGACTCAACCGGTACTTGGTGCTGTTCATGTTCGTTTGTCCTTTCTCTCTCTTTTGTACCCCACTTGTGAACCAGATACTTATGGCACAATAAAAGTAGATATAAAAAAAAAAAAAAAAAAAAAAAAAATAAAGTATGAGTATATAATTTGTTTATTATTAAGCAGTTATTGACACGTGTAATACTTTTGTGATATACTTGTATTTAGCTTTTCTACCTTACACAATAATTTAGTATAAAACAGCATGAGTATGTCTCATGTAGAAAAAAATATATCGCTTGAAAAACTAAATACATATGGCGTTAATGCTACGGCACGTTATTTTATTAGAGTTAATAGTGAAGAAGATTTGATAAAAATTTTTAATGATCCGTATTTAACAAATATCGATCAAAAACTTGTTTTAGGTGGTGGAAGTAATTTACTTTTTGTTGATGAATATTTCAATGGACTTATCATTTATATGTGTATAAAGGGTTTTACTAATCTCATGAATGATGAAGAAAATAAAAAAGTTACACTAAGAGTTGGTGCTGGCGAAAAATGGATGGATTTAATTACTTATACAATTCAACATAAATATAATGGTCTAGAATATTTAGCTGGTATTCCAGGTACTGTTGGTGGTGCTCCAGTTCAAAATATTAGTGCATATGGAGTAGAATTAAGTGATGCATTTCTCGAATGTCGAGTATTTGATACTGAAAATAAATGTTTTGTTATATTTGATAAAGATACATGTCGTTTTGCCTATCGTACAAGTATATTTAAACAGAATAATAATAATGGTGATCGTATACGATATATTATAACAGATGTAACTTTTGAATTATCAAAATCATCATCAGAATACATTGATTTACAAAGTAAAAATATTATTAAGGAAATCATACAACGTCGATCTTTAAAATTACCTGATCCATGGTTACATGTTGGTAATGCCGGAAGTTTCTTTCTAAATCCAATTATAACAAATGATGAATATGAAAAGATAAAACAACAAGAACAAAATGATATTCCTCATTATTTATTGAGTAATAATCGAATAAAACTTCTAGCTGGTTGGCTTATTGAACGATGTAATTGGAAAGGTAAAAATTTACGTACAGCAGGCACGTGGCATTCACATGCTAATATATTAATTAATAATGGATCAAAAAATGGCTATGATTTATGGGCACTAGCAAAAGAAATTCGCACAAGTGTAGAAAAACAATTTTATATACGATTAGAACCAGAAGTTAATATTCTTCGAATATTTAAACCAATAAAAGTATGATTTATTATTTATTAAAGTAAATATTTTTTTATATGATCATTATATTTTAGAATATGATATCATCAAAATTAATTATTAACAAAAATCATTTATGGAAACATGAAAATAAAATCAGAACAATTCATATTCCATCAGATAAAAATGTTTGTGTTCATCTACTTTTTGCTGCAATTGGTTTACGACAAATAGTTTGTTTTAAAGATGGATTTTTTGAAAATAACTGTCTTGATGTAACACGTATTTTACAATGGATTGATGATTATAATATAGCTGATATTTATTTTTATAATAATCAATCATTAAAAATAATACCAAATAAATATAAATTAACAGATTTAACATCGGCATCATTTAGTCGAGCTAGTATTGATATAGCTGGTAATACTTTACTAACATATGGCATTGTACGTTGTATTAAACTTGGTGGTTGCCAATTTACTCATCGTCCAATTGATGGTCATCTTAATTTACTTGTTGCACTTGGTGGTTATAGTGATGATGGTGAAACATTTTATTTAAAAAAAGATTGGAATAATTGTAACGATGATTTTGAATTTGATTGTCGAACTAAAAATGGAATATCAAGTGTTGGTTTAACTATACATGCTTTACTTAGTTGTTGTGCACTTCCAAATCATATTCAATGTAAATTAACTTATGTTGCACTTGAAATATCTGTACAAACAGTAATTACACTTGCATCACAATATCGTCCCATGATTGTTAATCATTCTGAACGTATAATTATTTTTGAAAAAAATCATTTATATTCAAATCATGATCTTGTACTTGAACATATACCAATCGATCAAATTTATTTATTTACTATGTGTTCTTTTGCTGCAATGCTTCAATTTAAATTTATAATTAATAACTTTGAATATGATCAATGTATAACTGAATATTTAAAATCAATTATGTTAATAAATATTAACGATACTAATCAAAATATTATAATTGATGGTAAAACAAGTTTTACTCACAATCAAAATGATAGACATAAATTAATTTGTGATATTTATCCAAATGGGTTACCAACAGATATTTCACCTATATTAACTGCTTTATTTATTGCTCGAAATATTTCATTTGAACTTATTGATTATATTTATGATAAGCGTAATACACAATGTAAAGAATTTACTAAACTTGGTTATGAAATAATCACTGATGGTAATAAAATCTTATATAATAGAAAAAAGCAAGATAAAAAACCTTGTAAAGATTTATTTGCTCATGATATACGTAGTGGCGTAGCAGTTTTATTACTTGCTTTATATTATGTTAATACAAATCAATGGAATAAAAATAATGAAATTATTATACATCAATATGAACAAATTCAACGAGGTTATGGAAATTTATTGCATCTAAAATTATCTGAATTTGGCTTTGATGTTCGAGTTATTCATGAATAATTATTTTTTGTATTTGATAGTTTAACAATTACGCAATAATCGAACTTATTTTTTTTTTGTCTGCTGTGAATCAGTTTCTTTTTTATAAAGATGTTTTTTGCTTCTTGTATTAATTGTAAACCTGCAATCTATCTGTTAAATATTGAAATCTATCATATATTGTAAGAAGAAAAAAAAAATGCTGAATATTCTGTGAGGTACTTACTACTGTATCAACATAGACATAGGAAAAAATAATAAACCCAATAAATGGATAAGATGTGACTCATATTTCACTTACGAAAATACAGAAAGGTTGGAAGATTCTTTTTTCTTTTTAACAATTTTTACAGAAGTAGTAGAATAGTGGTATTGTTTATTCGTATGTAAGATTCTAATTGAGTTTATTAAATTCAAATATCTGATTTATTTCTTCATTATGAAATGTTTTTTTCTTCTAGTTTTTTTGCTTACGCTCTACTATTTATTTGCCTTATTATTATTCGTTCGTTATTTCTTGCCTTTTTTTTTTCGTTTCGTTGCTTTGAGAATATTGTGATTTTTATTATTCTAAACATTAGTATAACTGACAAATGAGCCGTTTGTACACATCTATTATATCTACATTAGGTTTCAAGGGGCTATAATATATTTCAAACTAGTGGCGTAATCAGGATTTTCTGGGATGCTGGATCTCTACTTTAGAGTATGGATCCCAGTTGAAACTTATGGGGGACGATATTGGTCCTAAATGATGAGTTTCTACCAACTAATTTTTTCGATCGGAGTTTGCCAAAAAAATTAGCATTTTTCTGAGCCCCCCCCAAGAAATTTTTAAAATTGTCAGTAGTATCGAACTTGTGAGGATGCCACCGAAACCTACACCGAATTTCATCGACAGATTTCAAATTTCACCCGAAAATATCAATCCGTTCGGGAGTCATAACGTTTTGGATTTTTGGACATTCCTCAGAAATTGTGGCAGAGATTCAAAACGTTATAACTCCCGAACGGATTGATATTTTCGGGTGAAATTTGAAATCTGTCGATGAAATTCGGTGTAGCTTTCGGTGGCATCCTCACAAGTTCGATACTACTGACAATTTTAAAAATTTCTTGGGGGGGGCTCAGAAAAATGCTACTTTTTTTGGCAAACCCCGATCGAAAAAATTAGTTGGTAGAAACTCATCATTTGGGACCAATATCATCCTCCATAAGTTTCAACTGGGACCCATACTCTAAAGTTGAGATCCAGCATCCCAGAAAATTCTGGTTACGCCACTATCTTCAAACATTCCATAAACACTCATACTGATCTTTCCAGAAATTTAGAATTTCATCAGATCATACTTTAAGTGTTGGTTATTTGATGACTGTAGTAAACTGAAACATCACTAATAATTATCTTTGATATCTTCATTATAATCGAATATTTGCATAAAAATCAAA